CACACCGAGGTGCTCCCTGGCTGAGACGGCGTGGACGAACGGCCAGACCAACTCGGGCGGCAGCTGCTGCAGCGCCACCACCACGCGCATCATCAGGCTGTGCAGATCCATCGGCTGCACACACCCAAACCAACACACAACACACAACACACAGAGACTGAATATCCCCTTGTCTGTTTGTGTCCGTTGTGTTGGTGCTGTTGTCACTACTCACCTTGAGCAGGTCGACCTTTGTGAGCACCAGCTGAAGGATGACAGACCAACACAGACACCACAGCAAACAGAGGACGTGGGACACAATACCTGTCTGTCTGTCTGTCTGTCTTTCGTGCTGGTCCTCCCTCCCGCCCTCCCTCCCCGCCCTACTGACTGACCATGAGTCGTCTGCCCTTTTCTTGCAGCATGTCCCACAGCCGCTCGTCGAGCTCCTCGGGCCCCCTGGTCGACTCGATCAGACACACCACCCACTCCAGCCTCTTGGCACGAGTGAAGTACTCCTCCATCAGCACCGCCCAGTCGTTCTTGATCTCCTGCACGCAGGGAGCACATGGTATTGGGGCATCATTCCATCCATCCATCCATCCGTGTGTGTCTGTCGGGCTTTTGTCCGATCGCTGCCTGCGTTTTATATTTGATGTCAGGGACACAACCTGTGACCGCGACATGCGATGTGTCTATGTGTGCGCGATAGGCGCCATCCTTTTTTCTGTCGCCGCAATGTCATCGGGACGGATTGACAATGCCACGTCACTTTTCTCATGCACGTCTTGATTGATTCGATCCCTCCAGCTGTCTCTGTCTCTGTCTCATCCATACCATACAAGCGCCCCAGTCCATGCCCTCGATCCATCCCCCATTGCAGTGCACTCACTCATTCAATCTCCCCACTTCAATCAGTCTGGCTGCTGGTCAAAAGGCTCGGAAAAAGGCCGCGCACTCACAGACAGACAGACAGACAGGCAGACACACACAGACGTATGGACTCAGCCACTCACAGACGGTCAGTGAGACACAAAGACAGACAGACAGACAGACGGACGGACAGACAGACAGACAGAAGGTCACTACGCTGTAAGAGTGACGACCGACAAGGCAAAAGAGA